AAGACACTGAGCTGCAAACCAGAAGGTCTGTAGTTCGGCAGTCTGAGACCATAGTGCCACGTGATGAAGTGAGCTCCCGTCTCTGGCCTCAGCTCCTGCCAATCTAGCAGTATGAAATCAAGAAATTGCAGGTAGATAAAAAGGTACTGCTTCAGTGGGAAGGTAAGTGTTCTGTGTGCCTTGGCATTTAGTCATGCTGGCCACATGACCACAGAAACGTCTTTGGACAGTGCTGGCTCTTCGGCTTGGAAATGGAGATGCGCACCGCCCCATAGAGTCAGATTCAACTAGCTTTCGAGCAAGGGAAACCTTTACCTTGCAAGGTATAATTACCAGTATAATATATGCAGACAAAGCTCAGTGTCTACCTACCTATACTTCCTGCAGTTTTGCTTGCCACTTTCATATATTAAGAACACAAGGACAGCCTGCTGGATCAGACCAATAGTCCATCTAAGACCAGCATCCTGTCTAACACAGTGGCCAACCAGTTCCTCTGGATGGCCAACAATAGAGCATATGTCGCCTCCTGGCTCTGGGATTCAGAGGATTAATGCCTTAGGTACGCCTTAGTCATCATGGCTAGTAGTCATTGATAGATTCATGCCTATCTAATCCCCTTTTAAATCTGTTTATTGCTATGGCCGTTACTACAGCCTATGGCAGCGAATTCCACATTTTAATCACTCTCTGTGTAAAGTAGTATTTCCTTTTGTCTGTCCGGAACAACTGCCCATCAGCTTCATTAGATGCCTTAGACTTCTAGTATTTTGGGAGAGGGAGAAAAAACTATCTGTTAATTCTCTCCATCCCATGCATAATTCTATAAACCGTTATCATGCCCCTCCCCCGTCATCTCTTTTCTAAACTGAAAAAAGTCTCTGGCTCTACAGCCTTTCCTTATAAAGGAACGTGCTCCAACCTCCTAATCATCTGGGTTGCCCTCCTCTGTACTTTTTCCAGCTCTGCAAGTTCCTTTTTGAGATACAGTGACCGTACACAGTATTCCAAATGAGGCCAAACCACAGATCTGTACAGCGGCATTACAATATTGGCTGTTTTGTTCTCAGTCCCTTTCCTGATAAGCCCTAACAGAGAGCTTGCTTTTTTCACCGCTGCAGCACGATGGGCTAACACTTTCATCGAACTATCCATTATGACCCCAAGAGCTTTTCCCTCTCTGTTCAGACCGCATTAACTTATACTTGAAGCTGGGATCTTTTGTCCCAATGTGTCTCACTTTACATTTACCAACACTGAACTTCATTTGCCACATTGTCGCCCACTCACCCAGTTTGTGGAGGTCCTCTTGGAGCTCTTCACAGTCAGCCTTGGTTTTCACCATCCCGAATAATTTGGTGTCATCTGCAAATCTGGCCACTATGCTACTCATCCCTGGTTCCAGATCACTTAGGAACAAATGAAATAATACAGGCCCCAATACTGATCCCCAGTGCTTACTTCCCTCCATTGTGAGAACTGTCCATTCTCTTTGCTTCCTGTCATTTAACCAATTTTAATCCATAAAAGAACCCATCCTCTTATCCCATGACTGCTAAGTTTACTCAGGAATCTTTGGTGAGGCACCTTGTCAAAAGCCTTTTTGAAAGTCCAAGTACTGGCCCCAGTACTGATCCTTCTAGGATCCCACTGCTAACTCCCTCCATTGTGAGAACTGTCCATTGATTCCTAATCTATTCTTACATCTGTCTCCAGTTCTTACATATTTATGACCTATGTTGTTTTCCCCCCGTTGAACCCAAACAGATAACCAGAAACCAAGCTCGTCATTCTTTTTATCTGTTAAAAAAATCTTCACTATTTTGCATGCTAATTTAACAAGCCACCCTGTATATATACAAGTATGATCTGTAATTCCATTTCATTGTCTGGCGAAGTGTGCGTGCACAAGAAAGCTCACACCTTGAATAAAACTTTGCTGGTCTTAAAGGTGCCACTGGACTCAAACTTTGTTCTGCTGCTTCAGACCAACATGGCTACCCACCTTGATCTATTCCTACTCTGTCTTTCAGGATTGTCCCATTCCCTTGCAGAGGTTCTAAAGTCCTTGTAAAATGCTGGATAAGCATAAAATAAGGAAGTTATTGCACATGATGCCAGGAAAGAAGCGCTTTGGTGTGTATAGATTTCTTCCTTTCTTCTTTATCCTTGGAGGTGGTATGGAGTGGTTTATGATCAATGTCCGAATCGGAAAAGAGACATTTTGTAAGTATTGTTTTTAAGATGAACTATCTAGCAGATACTTTAAGTTATGATTGTTAGATGCTAGACTTTGTTATCATTCCCAGTTTGTATTACTCATTTCTGCATTTAAAATAAGTCTCTAAACAAGTTGAGAAGCTGTGAGGAATCACTGGGGGGGGGGCAATTGGAAAGTTCCCGTCTTCCCCTCCAGGATACTGTAGGATGGATCTTGACCTCTCTGTTAGCCTCCCCCCCCCACTTAATTGCACTCCATTCCATGCCTTCCAGAGAATAATGTGTGTATTTTAATCTTTATCAGGCCATTTCTAGCTTTTTAATTTACAAATTATTTGTATGCATATATGGGAGTCACTTGACGTTGCAGAAACCACTTCCTTTTGGGGGGCAAACCTGTTTTGCTGATACACACTTAACCACCAACTTCATTAAATATTAAAGGGAATGATTGTATAAATAATCATACTAGAAGATTTGACTTGCCATTGTTTGCCATTACTTTCAGCTCTGATTAGAATAGAGAAGTAGGTTTATGTAATGGGCAGTTATTTTAATCCTTTCCATATCATTGGCCTGCAGGCATTTAGTTAACAAAACTCTATGACGCAATTGATCAGGGTTTAAAAAGCTGGTAGTGTGCAGGTGTATGAACTTTTGTGCAGCTGCATGTTCACTGACCTTCCCCCTCAAGGTCAGAGCTGGGTAGTAGCAGGTTGGGCACAGCCGAGCAATTGTTTTCGAGCACAGGTGAACGACCCCAGATTTAAGATATTCTAGCATCTGTTCTTCAAAACTTGAACCACCACCAACTCCAGCCAGTAAAGAAACAAACTTTTCTTAACTGGCTTTCAGCAGGCAAGGATGATTGCCGGTGCTCATCCTCATGGCACTGAGAACATCTGAAACAAATCCAAATAAAGTTTTTAAAGTTGTGTTGAGCAGCATGAGCTCGTGACAAATTAATCACGGTAGGCAAACCTCCCTTTAGGATTAGGTTCCCCTAATCCTTCTCCCACTGATATCCCCCCCCCCTATGCACATCTCTCTCACACCTAATCCCCCCCCCCCCCGGTAATATGTGTTACAGCTGGTCTGCTTTTGTATTTATCTCCCCTTAAACTTTAATCACTTACTGGTGAGTTTAACTAGGAAAAAAATACATGTGAGATGCTTTTAAAAACTGTTTTTCTACAATCTTTCCCCCCCATTTTACAGATGATGTTTACCGCAGAAAGCAGTCTGAAAGACGGCATGAAAGTTTGGAACAAAGATGATAGCTCATTTCTGAAACCTTAAATTTTATATATAACAGATGTTTAACTGTTAAATTAAAAGAAGTGTGCAAGTTTTCAAATCAAACACTGTGACAGTAGCTGGTACCATGGGATATGGTTTTCATACCCAGGCTGAAGGTACAATGCCAGCTGCTTCCTTATCACATCGTGCATCAATATCCAAGGTTGAGGTAATTCACCACCAGCAGCAACCAAAGCTATGCGGCTCTACAAGCAGATGATCTTCAGTTTTTATGTGGAAGTAACATTGTTTGCTCAGGTGCTGACCAGAAGAATGGGAATTAGCTGGAGCTACCAATTGACTTCACTGAACTCCAACAGAATAAGGGGAGCAGAGTCCCCATAGTCTGTCCCAGGTTTCTCATAGGATCATCATCCTCTTCCCCTAGAATAAGGGAGATATCCTTGTTGAACTGACAAGTCTTGTCACTCATCCCATTTAGCTATCCCCCTTCCTTCTCCCGCCATTGTGGATGCAGAAGATGGTAATGGCTTATCCTGCCCTATATGGTACTCTGGTATCCAGGAACAATGTACGATGGCTGATTATACTGCATTTTAGAAGTGGGGATTTATCCTGTTTGAGAGGAAGTTTCATCATGAGTTTATATGTGTACATAAAATTACCAATGCAAACTTGCTATACTGAATCTCTTCATTTAAAAATGACTTTGCCATGGCAGTATGTTAAGAAAAATTATCGTAGCTAAAGGGAGGGATGTTCTGCAATCTAACAAAAGATAGTAATGTCTATGACAAATGTTGAATAGGATTTGTGGTGTGATTGATTGTAGCTCTGAATCATAAGTGGAAGCAGTTCTCAAAACATGGATTGTGCTAAAGGTCTAACTGGATCTCATTTCCACAGAAGAAATTAAAGATATCCAGCAGCACATCCTGTATAAAAGTTTCAAGGACCACCACATTGTGCATTGTACTAAGAAACAACTGTTTTAGTTATCATTTTCTGCTGTCTCCTTAAGTTTAACCTAAATATAGGCCTATAGCTCAAATGGAATTTTAATTTAGTAGAGAGTGGCTATTCCATCATACTGGAAAAGATGACAGCACATTTCTGTGGAGCAGAAGCCACTGGTCTGAAGGACACAACTGCCAGTGCCTGAGGACTGTGTTGAAGTTTCAAGGACAGAATCTGTAGATTCAAGAAACAGCAGTATCTCCTGCTGTGCAGATAATACAACAGAATGAGGTTACACTGTTACTTTCCATTTAACAGTGCTGTCACTAAGATGTTTTGTCTAACCTTCTAATAGAACTTCAAGGCTCTGCAAATGCTAACCCTAACCCATTTCTGAAAAAGCTTTTCAGGTGGTTATAGAAACTGGTGGTTGAATTCTCCAACCAGAGAGCACTACAGTTTTCAACGCTGCTGTAAAAAAGCTCATTAAAGTCTGGCAGCATGACTCAACAGCTTATCTACTGAGTATTCACCTCCTTGCAGCCCTTAATTCTATTTTATTCATGAAGAACTCACAGTAGCCCCATTCTTTGGGCCACTGAAGTCATGGAAAACAGTTGTCCCCCTTGAAGCATGGCAACCTGCACACCTTCATCTGTATCTCCCTTCTGTGAGGAGCTGAAGAACTCTGGATACATCAAGATGATTAAGCTTTTCATTTATATATTCAAGAGTGCTATGGTTGGGCTATCTATACTAGGGAAACGGCTAAAGTAATGATAAACGGAGACATGAAATCCGAAATAAATATTAATAGGGGTCCCCGTCAAGGGTGTCCATTTTCACCGTTATTTTTTATATTCACTTTAGAAATCTTATTGGAAACTTTAAATGATAACGTAGTATCGGGAATAAAATGGATGATCTGGTTATTGTATTAACTGAACCTGCACTTTCCATGCCCAGGCTATTATATCATCTACACCAGTATGGCCAATTGGCTGGTTTTAAGGTTAATGCGGCCAAATCGCAATTAATGACTAAGAATTGCACGTTACAACAAGCTCAAGATTCGAAGCCCAAAAGAAAGTAAAATATCTCGGTATTTATTTAACCAATAGCATCTCTTTTTCAAGATAATTATGTTAAAACACTAGATCAGATCAAATGAGATTTAGAAAAATGGGAGAGGCTTCAACTTTCACTGATGGGCCGGGTATCTATTATTAAAATGAATATCCTCCCAAGGATGTTATTTCTCTTCCAAAATATTCCTATACTTTACAATTTAACGTTCATACAGAAGTTAGAAAAAATGATCAGGGAATTTATTTGGCAGAAGAAAAAACCGTGTCTTAAACTTTTGTAAGAAAAAACAGAAAGAGGAGGGCTTGCATTTCCAGATTGGCGTTTATATCATTATGCAGCATCTCTGGTTTGGATTCGGGACTGGATTCAAATGACTGATCTTAGAACTCTAAAAATTGAAGGTTATAATTTATTACTAGGATGGCACGCAATTCTTTGGTACGATAAAAAAGACTCTCATACCCATTTTAATCAACATTTATTAAGAGGCTTTACTAAAAACATGGATGGAGGTTAATTTTTTTATATATATATAGTGAGACTCCAAAATGGGTAGCTCCTCTAGAGGCTTTTTCTAACCCCAACTTAATGAATGAAAGCTAACTTTTCGACATATGGAACTCTTTTAGATAACAGAGGTGACCTTAAATCACAGGAAATGCTTAATGAGCAATGTATCATATTATCTTGGTGGGAAAGAAATCAACTAGAGTCTAGGAACGCTAAAGATAGGCAAATTGGTTTTCTAAGAGAGAATTCGGAGTTAGATAAAAGGTTATTAGGTAATGAAAATAAACTTATTGGGAAATTATATAATTTTTTGTTAGACCATAAAATGGTTGACGAAGTGAAAACATTTATGATATCATGGACAAGAAACATAGGGCATAGTATCGAGTTAACCAAATGGAATAAAATCTGGCAAACGTTAAAATATATGAAAGCACCTCTATGAAGGTAAATCTTTTAGAGATGTGTCATCGTTGGTATTTAACCCCTGATAGACTTGCACGCTATTACTCCAATTGTTCTGATAAATGCTGGAAGTGTAAAACTAAAATAGGCTCCTTTATCACGTTTGGTGGGCATGCGGAAAAATAAAAAAAAATTGGAAAGAAATTTATAACATTATAGTGCAAATAACGAATATTAATTTACCGTTTGAACTTGAAATGTTATTATTGAATATTATGCCAGATATATTAAAGAAGGAAGATGCTTAAACATTGGAAGAAAGAAGATTGTCCGACTCAGAAAGATTATGTAACCAAGATTTTGGAAGTAGCAGAAATGGACAATCTGACCTTGAAAATACGTGGAAAAGAAGATGGGACTTTTCAAAATATATGGCAAAAATTTTATGAGTGGTTGGACTCACATTCATAGAAAGGTTAAGCATTTCTTTGTACTTACAGTCAATAATTTATGTATAGCCGGAGAAGGATCTTATTTTAATTTACTGTCTAAGTGTTTGTTTGAGGTTTGTTGAATTTAAAATAATAAAAATAAGGGCTTGGCCCGTATTAAAAAAAAAAGATAGCTATGGTCTGCACCATTTGTAGAAACATCTCAGTGCTCATACCTTCAAAGCCAGTCGGCATCTACCTTCCATTTCCAAGACTGTAACACAATGACACACTAAAATGTGAAATTTGGCACGTCTTTCGCATATCCACAGCATACTGGATCAGCTCTGTACTGTCATTCAGATTAGCAAAACTGTTTCAAAGGCTGTACTACAGTACTGAATTCCACAGCAGGGTAAGAATATTGGTGTTGCACCAGTTAATTCATTTCCATTTTTATGTCTGACACATATTACACATCAACTGAATTGCCTTGCGGTAAATTTCCTCAGCCTCCAGTTGCTGTAAACCATTGTACTTTCATATTTCCATAAGGATCAGGAACTGCATTAGGTAGTCTTTCAGTTAGTCATGTCTGCTTGTTAGAAATTACTTGTTTTAATTTGAAGCCAGACCCACCAACGCAGGTCATTCTGAGAAGAAAACAATGCTTCCAAGATCTTACAAATAAGATAAAATCTGAAAACCTGTTTTAAGCCTACCCAGATCTAGGGTTCTCCGTGCTACCTACATTATTAACTGGGTTATGCGTATGCTGTGGGTCAGCTGTACAAGTACATGCTTTGCATGCAGAAAGTCCCAGGCTCAATCTTGGGTCTCTCAGTTAAGATATCTTAGATAGCAAATGATGGGAAAGACACTCTGGAGAGCCGTCACCCACCAGAATGCTGAGCTAGATGGACCAATGGTCTAATTCAGTATAAGAGTTTTCCACCTGGACTGCATCCACACATTATTAGATATTGTGTTGTTGTCACACTACAGCAGTCATTTGCAATTGGATTTTCCTGTACGGACAAGACATACAGTTGCATATGAGAGCCACAGTGTAACAGTAGCACAGTATCTAATCATGAAGGCAGCCATAGCTCTCCTGAAACAAGACATTTAAAACCTGTGAATCACATATTGCATAAACTACATTTAGGAGTTCAAGACAAATAATTTTCTACACAGAACCATAATAATTTGAAAAATGCACATTTTAGGAACTTTATAAATGCAGAATGGGGGTATTAAGACTATATCCGATCCGGGTAGCTTCACATAAGTAGAATCAAATGTACTGGGTCTATTTATGACAGAAAAATACAGTCTTCAGATATGTTCATAAGAGAAGTTTCGTTATATTTTTGGTCAAAAAATTTACATTTACAAAAACGTAATCCACCCAGGCTGCAAATCAGTGTACAGATTTCCATCCATTTCGATCTAATACTCAGATACTAAACAATCCCTAGAGATCTATGACATCAGCATACCTATGCTGCTTAGATCCAGTGGATTTGGGTGATGATAATTCATCAGCCATGCGGCACAGCAAATTAGAGACTGCTTTGATTTACAACAAAGTTTGTTTCTTTAGGGGAATGGTGCCCAGTTCTGCTAACACCACATATCTTCCCTCATCTAATATTATAACAAACAGCATACACAACCTACTTGTTACAGTGCTTTCTTTACAGGGCACACACAGGAAAACTAAATATGACATCTCAATGGAACAATCAAACCTGGCTAATCCAAACTGCAAACTATTTTTATTTAAATCAAAAGCCTCAGAAAGACAAACTGATAATACATGCACAATTACTAGTTACCACTTTACTCAATGGAGTATACAACCAGGAGTAAAAATGAGGCATGGATTAACCAGGTCCAAAAGCAAATATACTGAAAAAGTTATAAACATCAATTTGAATTATTACATGAACAAGCTGCTCTTCAAGGAAAGAGCAGGGAATAAGGAGTAGGAGATGAGCACTTCCAATTGGTTTAATGAAATATATATTTTTTTTCCACTCACGCAAGCCAACCACTTCCCATACTTTTATTCCATAGTCAAAATCCTTTTATTCTAATACAGTGCGTGGCAGTGGAAAACAACAAATGGGTTCAAATGGCCACAAATACAACACAGTTTGTTTTCTTGAACAATTTATAATTAGAATAGAGTTCTGTTAGCTGGTTGTGCAATACTGGATTGTAGCCACCAAATCTTAAACCCTATGTGTTA